GATAGGTGACCAGATAGGTCACTGGTAGTCATATTAGGTCAGTGGCCTTATCGGACCTTCAGGGGTAAAAACAACCGAAAGTCTTCAAGAATATCGTGACATTTGAATTTATGACCGGCACCAAGTACTACCTTGCGCGGGATATTCCTCTAAGCAAATGGTTGATCAAGGTCGCTTAAGGTAAGCGACATACCCGGAGCTTTATGAAATCATGACAAGATATCCTCAGATGTCGTGCCTTTGGGTTGCCCATCAAGAGCGGCAAGTAAGCCGTCACCTGCCCATCAAGAGCGACAAGTAAGCCGTCACCTGCCCACCGAGAGCGGCGAGCAAGCCGTCACCTGTCCATCAAGAGCGGGAAGCAAGCCGTCAACTGCTCATCAAGAGCGACATGTAAGCCGTCACCTGCCCATCAAGAGTGGCAAGTAAGCCGTCAACTGCCCATCAAGAGCGGCGAGTAAGCCGTCACCTGCCCATCGAGGGCGGCGAGTAATCCGTCACCTGCCCATCGAGAGCGGCGAGTAAGCTGTCACCTGCCCATCAAGAGCGGCGAGTAGGCCGTCGGTTTCTGCTTACGTCGGTCAAGGGCGTCAGGCAGAGGATCAGCCACCTCCAGCGGAACACCATACACCTTTGCAATAGCTGAACCCAGTAAGTGCAACATCAACGCACATTTAAACACACTGTGAGCGATATCTAGTGCCACCATATACCGCTCAATTCCCTCAGATCAGATCTCGAAGTCCTCACCAGCCCGATGTGGATCTACGGTAGGTAGCTGTTACGCCACATTGCAGTACTGTCCACGCCACCAAACGAACTGTAGGCTTCCACAAAAATGGCCTCACGAATCGACTCACCAGTGGGCCGGGTCACCTTGACCTTGAGTCGACATTCACCGACGCCTCAGTGTCTAGAGCACCCAAAGCGCACGATAGACGTCACGCACTTTGACTAAAACGTTGTCCCATCTAATTAAAGGGAATGTTTTACATTTGAAGACATTGAAACGAGCATCAGACATGGATGAGACAAAAGTACTAGCCTTATTCCTCGGAGAAGAACCCAGCGAATGGAAATGCAGTTGGGTTGATATTTCGGCAACATGTCTCTATGGAAACAATAGCAGAAGTGACCGGCACAAAATCTGTTCCTAAAATTTGTTCCTAAATCTGTCCTTAAAATCTGTCCGAGGTATTACCAACCCTTCGATACCCTAATGCACTGAACAACTTACGAGCATCAAACATGATAAAACAAGCCCACGTACAACTGCTGTTATACCTTTAAGTAGAAAAGACTGCTCTAGACAACACAATTTCTCTGGTAAGTAAATGTGGCTCCAAAACATCATTATTTGATCACGTCATCGTACCTTGCATAACATTGATCGAGAGCCAATTAACTGCCGTTATATCTGGAAATCCTGCCCACGAACGCCAGATGTGAACATCTTGGGCAATTATTTCTTATTTGCCTGTAACGCCGCATGGCTTATGGAATGGCAGGATTCGAATAGCATTGTCTCTATGTTATGAATGCCAAGGTGAATTTAAAATACGCTCTCCGAAAAAGTGTCCCATCTTCGCGGGCGTATAGCTCAGAAACAAGAGGGCTTCAGCTCTTAAGAAGGGCAGGGCTGTAAACTGTGTCGAAAAATATTAAAGATGCTATGTTAGCTCAAAACCCCATAGAAATGTGAAGCATTCCCTTCAAGCAGTAATGGTAGCTCTCTTAGCGAGCTGAATATGAAACATAACACAGAGCTGAAACACAGTTGAAAATCAAACAATGAAAAATCATAATAAAAAGCCAAAAAAATCCAGAAGTGCATGCAATAGAAACTGGATAGAACGAAGCTCGTTATAAAGAAAAAACAGCAGTATGAAACTAGAATTGCACTAGATTTGCGATGCACACTAGATTTCTAGCTCACACTAATTATTTGATTGCCGGTAACTGAACGCAGCGTGGCGCAGGTGCCATAATAGTGAAGGTATTCCGAATTTAAATGAATATTGCGCCCAGCATTTTCGTAAGAAACTCCCAAGAAACTGTACACTTGACAACACCGGCATCGTGTATTGATTGACAGAAAAAATTATACGGAACATGTACGAAACTCCGGAACGCCCCAGCTTAGAGCACACAACCTCCCGATTTTGAATCCAGTACGGTACCGATTGATCCTCCGAGGCCGCTGGGTTTACCGCGACGGTTAGAAAATTCACGGCGTACCGTACACGAAAGCTTCGGCCCGGTGCGCCATGAAAATTTGGCTTTTCTAGACAATGGTCAATGGATGGGCTCAAGATAATTAAACAATCTTTCGCGTGGTGCCAGGTGCGTCAAAATCGGCTGACAGAATTCGACTCACAGCTCTGTGAAAAGCAAGCATTTTTTTCTGTGAATATTTTTTGAAGAAGAACCCTTGTGGAGACAAGCAATTTTTTTAAAGTTTGAGGTAGTTAAAAATATCGAACACCTCTACAACATCATCGAAAGCGTGCAAACCAATTCTGTACTAAAATTCACCTCTCCGCTCAGCGTGCACAATACGCTACCTTTTCTTGACGTCTTGGCCGACACCCACCATGACAAATTTGTAACGTCAGTTTATCGGAAGAGCACAGATGTGGCAAGATGTTTAAACAGTGACCGCTTTAGCTATTCCGTCTGTTTGGTGGTACATCTGACCATCAGGGCCACGAAACGTTGATTCTGTTGTGCATGCAAGCGACAGTTTTCCGAACGTATTTCTTGAGAGTTTTAAAGGTGATAGATCAGGATGGCTACATAGCCACCAGGAACATCTCAGTACACTCGGTGCAAAACTAACTTGGTCAGGATCTTCATAAAGAGAGCAGTTAAAAACTGTTCTAGCTGGACGCAAAGTTTGTTAGACTCCAACAGATTATGACCCACAACGGATGTTTGCAGACGTCGATAATGAATTAAAAAACATGTAGAACGAGAAATAAGAAGATTAAAGGCCGCAACAAAACGGCCGAAAGCATGATTAAACTTTACTATTGCAGTCACATGTCACTGTCTCGCAAAGTGAACGAACATGTCATTCAGGTAATCATCAAAGACAATGTAACATGCACCAGCACGACAAGACACCTTGAACTCTTCACGGAATACCTCGGGCATAACAGGGTATGCTTAACGGATTACCTCAGACGCAACAGGAGATGCTTAACGGATTATCATGTGCGTAACAGGAGATGCTAACGGATTACCTCGGGCGTTAGAGGGAAATAAACTGGGTCAAGTAAGGGTGGAGATTTTGGCAACGTAAAATTATTCCAATTTTGAGTACGCTCTTCTCTCAGTGAGTGATTCAGGCTCGGATATCGTCAGCAATTTGTAAGAAGGGTGTGGTGGTAGTGCAAGTACACATTCTTTGCTCAAAGCCACTCAAGATCCCGTGGAACGTAGCTAAGATGGTCATATTTCCTTCGTCCGGAAACGTCTCCCTGCTAGTTTAGAAGCTTTTGCAGTTGGCCTAGTTGAATATTGTCGCTCGCCCCGCAAACGATGAAACATCGTCAGATCAGGGATGCCACAAGTCCATTTACCAGTGCAACCAGAGTTAACTGTGGTAAGCTATGCCTGCTGTGACTGAGGCCACAGATCATGCCTGCACATGGCCGCACAACGGGGTCAGTGCGTGCCGAGAATGTCATGCGCTGGTCAAATACGATACCCAGGCTCCACGCAGTGGGAGAACCAGCGGCAGTCGCTACCATATATTTCTGAGAATGGCAAGCCGCTGAATGCTTTGACGAGACCCAAGAACTGCGAGCCGACTTTTCTGTGCGTTGATTTTTATTCCGCTTATTTCCAAACCACCGAGAACCGCTAAATATTTTGTTCCAATAAAATAACAATGAAATTTGTGTCGCCGGGCCTCCCGGCTATCGTCCGCATATCGAACAATGTCTGCACCGTCTATTTACAAAGGCAAGTAAACAAACTCGTCGTCATCGGCCCCGACACGCCGCCATAACAACATTCGTGCCCACCGGGCTGCACAGTCTCGTGCGCCGGCCGGCACCCAGCGACGTACGATCGCCTCGCGGGACGGCTGCCGACCGCTTCCCAGGTGGCTTTCGCCGCACTCCTCGGCGGTGGGGCTCGTTCCGTTTACGTCACACATCACAGCAGCCTCGGTCAACCAACTCGAGACACACGTCAGTAGGACCCTGTTAGAGTCTGGGGTGGCAGAGAACGCGCACCGAGAATACACCGAAACACGAGGGTGAGCGAGAACTCACGCGCACCAGACGACCAAGCGGGGCTCAGACTGAGCGCCGGACGACGTCAACAGAAAACGGAGGGAACAGCAATTGCCCCGGGTTGACGGCCGAGATCTTTCTCATCGTCCCTCCACGGCTTCTAGCATGCGCAGTTGAGCAGGTTACGAGTAAAATGCGCCCCTCAGCGGTTCGAAGCCTAGAAATAGACGCAACTTCGTTACATTCTGGTGAATGGTTTACGCATAATGCATTTGCACTAAAACCCGTGGCGAAGAACGAAGCCAAGGTCTTGGTAAGGGGGGAGGGGTACAAGGGTAGCAAATGGTCACCGTCTGGTGAAAGGGCTTTTCCCAGAAATATTGCCGCGTGTGGCAGGCTTAGATTTCAGGGAGGGGTCAATTTCCTTGGTTTTATTTTTATTTTTTACCTTTTTCAACTGGAACATAAGGCATTGAAACTGCCGAAAAACACATTTTTGTTTCATTTTGTCAATTAAGTCAATAAACAAAACGAAGCGGTGTTGACTGCCAGCAGGAAAACCCCTGCGCTGTTCATCTCACAATGGTTTAGTGGACTCTCTCTAAAACGATAATACTCACAGGTTTTGCCGGGGTCTCCTGGATTCTATTGTAGACCCTGTAAACGTACATTGCAGATTTAAATTGGAACAAACATGTGCATCGCATGCGCAAATCATGCTCGTCTGAGAATGTTCAACCTTCTTTCAGAACAAAT